AATTATTTAATGGGGCATTTATTGGTACATTTATTTGTTTCATGGTATATTTATTTATTTTATTTAATGGGACATTTAATTAATTGTGCATTTAACAATTTAATTGTATATTTAATGATTCATTAATGTATTAAATAATTAAACAATACATCTAATTATTTAATGGGGCTTTTATTGGTACATTTATTTGTTTCATGGTACATTTATTTAATCCTTGACATTTATTTATTTAATTTAGTCACATTCCACCCTCCATAACTAAATGCACGAAGGTCAGCAGCCTTCATAAACGCCTCATGACGTCTTATTTTTGTATTCTGTCAGTTCACTGAAAACCCTCAAGGTTTATATGAATGTGTTATTCGAAGCTTCCCATTCAAGGTTTGAAAAACCTCAGGCAGCCTTGGTGGCTGTCAGCGGAACATTTGTACCGATGAAGAGAGGAAGATAAGCGAGGCCTTGGTGACTGAATGAATTCACAGGTAGGAACGTTAAACTCTGAGCACTGAATGGAAACTCGTCACCTGTCAAGAAAAAAACTTGAATGTCGTGTTGCAATGAGTGCAAACTTTGTGAACCCAATCTTTTATACGTGCGTTCCTTCAAGCAGAAACATGCCTTTCTTTAACAAAACAGAAAATTTGTCAAGATTGCAGATAATTTGTTAAGTTGCAGCTTGAAAGAAAGGAAATATTGAATAATGTGAAGCGTTTTCACAAGGTTGATGAATCAGCTTTCACAGAATTGACTCAGAAGAAGCTCTCACCTGCTGCTGATCATATCCATCTATTGGATTATCTCTAACGCCCATACTTTATGTAACATGTCACCTTCATCTGCTTTCATCATTCAGAACCTCTTAGCTCGCCTCTCCTAGCTCCGCCCCCCCCCCCCCCCCCCTCGCCCCGAATGATGGTCTACACAAACCTGGAGGAGTCCGAGTGCCCGCTGTAGCGGCCTGCGCTGGTGCCAGCACCCGCTGTGCTCGATCTGGGCGCAGAATATCCACTTGGAATGGAGGGGGCGTCGCCCGCCTGGAGACGGGGGGGTTGTGATTGGCCGAGACGCCATGCCATGGGGGAGGAGCGTGCAGCAAGGGTGGGTAGGCTCCGCCCATTGACCTCGGTGGTTACAGTGGTGTCAAAGGTTGTTTCCAGAGTACTGTGGACACAAAGGGTTGAGAGAATTAAAAAACATATTCTTACACTTTGACAAATCTAAGGTGTGCCTCTTTTCAAGCATGTTCAGGATTAGAGCATGATGAGGAATGATAATGTTTAGCTGATTTTATTAAACCTTGCTAAAAGGCTCCATTGTCACACAAACTCATGAGACGCCATGTGCTGTAATAGCAATCAGAGTATGTTTTGTAAATCACTCTCAGCTACTAACAAACCAAAGTTTAGCTCAGTATCTGTAAAAGTGACTGAGCTGTAGCTGTTTGCTCAGGTCATCTGTGGAAGCCTGACTCCAAACATTCATCAGTTGTAGATGTTCATCCAGTGATTACTTTCTGAAAGTTTGGTAAAGTTAAGTAAATCAGAATGTTGGCTAAATGAAGAGGAGGAAAAAAGGTAGCAAAACACTAGCTGTGGACTAAAATAAGAGCCAAATGCTAAAAGATCAATGCTAGTTAAAATAAAATAAAACACTTATTAAAGGTAGTAAAATAGCATAAACACAGCCAATAGCTATAAGTGACAAAAATAAAACTGAGACGGCTTTACTGAAGCAAAAGAAAGCACAACACCAGCTAAAAGTTAAAAAGAGAAGAAAAAAATAGCTAAAAATAGTAAAATACGGCGAACTAAAATGCTAGCTAAATGCTAACACAAGCTATGCTAATTAAAAGGGAAAATGTGTATTAAAGCTGCCAAAATACAAACTAAAAGTAGCAAAATTGTAGCTATAAGCTATAAGTAACAAAATTAAAAAAAAAAAAAAAAAACACTGGCTAAAAGGAGCCAAACAGTTACCTAAAGTAGCTAACTGCTAGCCAAACACAGCGAAAAACAAGCTAAAGCAGCTAATTTTAGGTCAAAGGTAAACATGGCAAAATGCTGGTAAATGCTAAATGTAGACAACGCACAAGCTAAATAACAAAACAAAAATTAAAGTTAAATAATAATAAATAAAAAAGAAAACAAAATTCTAGCCTAATAATGCTAGCTTGGAGCTAACAATGCAAGAAAACAAAAACAGAGCGAGGCACTACAGCAGATTTTCATAAACAACGTTTCTGAAGGAAACAGAGATCTTTAGATACATTTTCTACATAGTTAATTAAAAAAAGGTATACAATTACATCATAGCAGGGATGTCCTGAATGAGCTGAACATGCTTGACATAACTGATAAAAGTATGCTGACACGTCCAAAGAGGTTTGTAATAAAAACAAACACCATCATCACAGAAGCAGCATTCCCACAGAGATGAACTGTTTTCATCTGCTCTGTCCTAAAAACAGCTGGTGAGCACAGCTGCAGCAGCCTGTTCACAGCCTGTGGTCTCTGGAGCGCCCTCTGCTGGAGAACCGCGCTCACTGCCTCCAAATATGAAAACAAGCCCAGAGGGAAGCTCTGGTTTGTGGCTTCAAGAAGCATCAGCTCATTTGTATTCCACTCAGAAACAATCACACATGGACGCAATAACAGCTTATCTTCTAATGTAACATCAGTTGTTTTGGAATTGGAGCATAAATGATCTGTCATTAGCTCAGAACATATTTGAAAATAGTTCAGTTTATTGTCTATTTGCAACATGCAGGAGGTCAACACAAGGTCAGCAATGCAATGAAACGCTCAAGACGAGAAGAAACGTCTCGACTCGCCAAAAAAAGAAAAGAAAGAAAATCAAAGCATGCAACAAAAATACAGAACAAAGCACCAAAAAAGTGAAAAAGAAATACAACATCTACAAGGTCCAAAAGAAAGACATACTGTATAGTATACAAAAAATATATAGTAAACAATTAATTAACAATTAATTAGTAATTAGCCCTCTACCTACTGGCTTTCATCTACAAATATGAGCAGAAAGCAACTAATGCCTTGTTTATTAGAATAGAATAGAATTCAACTTTATTGTCATTGCACATGTCACAGGTACAAAGCAACGAAATGCAGTTTGCATCTATCCAGAAGTGCTTAGCAAGAAATAAATTGGTAGATATATATAGTACAATATACAGTAAGTTGCTTTGAATATGCTACAGATATAAATATATACAGGTTGTGAGTGTACAGACTATGAACAGGTTATAATATGAAGGGGTATAAACAGCTATATAAAAGAAAAATATATATAAGTATGTGAGTACTTATGAACAGTAGATGGTAGATTATGTGTACTGTAGTATATAGTATATCTTTACACAATTCTGTTTGATTTGGGAGTACAAATAATTTACAACAAAAAATAAATAAATTAGTATTTCTTACAGCCACCACTTTTCATGGAATAAAAAAAAAAAAAAAAGATAATCTAATTTTATAAATGGAGACCTTTCAGTCAAACATTGTAAATTGCATTACTGTCTTATCTCATCTTGTGCAAGAACTCAGGTCATATTATGAGATCTTGTGCTCAGAGTCTTTCAGCTGCTTCAAGTTTGTTTTATACACCAGATGTCCTTCCTGACGCAATCGGGGCTTGAACCTGCAACCTCAGGATTATAAAACCACAGCACTGACCACCGACCCACCACAGTCCTCAGAGTAAGTGTTGTAAATAACGCTCAGCTACTACCAAATCAAATTTAGACTTAGTATCTGTGAATTTAGCTGAGCTATAGCTATTGTTGTGATTCTTGAGTTAAGCTTTCTGTAGCGTCCATTTTGAATTGTACTGACTCCAAAAGGTAATCAAATGTAAGTGTACATTCACTGTTTACCTTCTGGGAGTTTCATTAAAATGTGTCCAGTGGTTTATGATATATTTTGCTAACAGACTGACAGAGTTGACTTCAATAGTTAATGATTAAATAAAACACTTGGCACTCAGAGTATGTGCTGTGTACAACACTTCGCTGCTACAATGCCAAGTTTTAAGTAAATATCTGTAAAATGTACCAAGTTAATGCCATTTATATGTTTGCTAAGATCCCATAGCTGTGGCAGCCATCTTGAACATCTGTCCAGTGGTTGACAATATATTGGGTTTGTGGGAGGACAAGCCTGCTGCAGCAGACTGGCCTTTCTTAGGTGTTAAATTCAATATCTTAAAGTATAACAGATAGCAGGAAGGGTGTGAGGTTAGCCGTGAGTGTGCATGTGTGTGTGCATGGCGATGGCACCGCATTCACGACACGTGTCTGAGACCAGCGCACAGAGGCACCCTGAATACCACGTGATCGTGCTGGGATAAATGATGACTGCCGATGTCACAATGAAACACTGGCAGATGTGGAAATACAGACACCAGTTTGCCACCATGTGTAAATCGACACCAGTTAGCTGCTGACGAGACAAACTGCTGTTTCAACTTGGCACGCTACCTGCAGGCATGTTAGCAGAGAGGGCGACGAATCGGAGCATGGGGTCAGGAGTGAGGACAGCATCAACTGTCACACCCTGATGGTGCTGGGGTGGAACTTTAATAAACTACATGTAATGGTTTCACTGGGGTTCAACACCCACAGAGTCAACAAGAGTTAAAAACTCACATTGTCAAAAGAGTAGCTAAAAACAAAAAAACTAGCACAACCAAAGCTCAAAGTTGAGATTAGCAAAACAGTAGCTAAAAACTAAAACCCAGAATAGCAAAAAGCTAAAATTAACCAAATAGAAGCTAAAAGCTAAAATAATCAAAACTGCTAAAAGTTAAAGCCAGTGAAACTTTAGTAAAAAGCAGAGCAGCTAAAAACTAAAACAAGCACAACAAAGGCTAAAAGTTAAGAATAGCAAAAAAGTAGCTAAAAGCTTAAACCCTTAAAAAATAGCTAAAAGCTTAAATTAACCAAATAGAAGGTAAAATAATCAAAACTGCTAAAAGTTAAAGCCAGTGCAACATTAGTGAAAAACAGAGCAGCTAAAAACTTAAACTAGCACAACGAAACAAAAAAAACTGTAAATAAAAGCTAAAATTAACAGGAAAGAAGCTAAATTTTAAAATTAGAAGATTAGTATCAAAAACTAAAAGTAGCAAAATTGTAGCTAAACCTGAAAAAATTTGTATCAAACTTCAAAAAAACCTCAAATGAACTAAGTTGTAAAATTCTCTTTCATTTTAGTGAAACCAAAATAGCTAAATCATATATTGTCTCATCAGTCCCCACCATGTCTCCATTAGAGGAGCGGTGGCTCAGAGGTTAGAGAGGGTGGGCCTGCGATCAGAGGGTCGCCTGTCAACCCACTGTTCAACTCTCGGATTGACACCATCAAAATGTGGGTGGAAAAGGTGAAACACCCACACCTGCCTCCACCTTCATTTGCCTCACTCTGGGCCCCTGAGCAAGGCCCTTAACCCCCCAGGCGCCTTGGATAGCAGCCCACTGCTTCACATGTGCAATGGGAAAAATGCAGAGAATTAATTTCTCCATTGGGGATTAAACAAGAACAATCACCGACAGGGTGAAGCTGTTACATTCAGATTGTCTCGTCGGTTTGAGGATCCCGTGAGACTAAAGTCAGACAGTGTTTGCTGAGCTGGGTTCATCCTCGAGGATCACGTTCTGTCTTCACACTCGGTGCTTTTGTTGTTCTTCCTGATGCCAATCAATAGCATTTTTCTTTTTTGAGGACGAGAAAACAGCTGTGGGAAATGAACCGTGGAGGTCCATGGAGCTAAAACAGCTGGGAGACGAAAAAAAAAACGAGTTCAGCGACAGGCAGAGGACGTTTAAAAAAATCTTAAACTGTTCTTTTAAATGGACGATAGAACAGTAGAGACAAATAAGTGGTACGCCGATGCTAAGGGATTTGAAAAGTGCACGCTTGTACTGGTAGTTATCCAAATGAGTGTTTTTCTGGACTGGTATTGAACAGGCCATGCATGTAAACCTTAATGTTTGTGGTGCAAGATATTCAAGTGTGTAGGAGTTACACTGTGGAGAAGAACAGAGGTAGTTTTTTTCTTCTTCTTGTCTGAGGCAGCACAGAGTGATGGATCCTGGTGATTTATCCACGACCAGGTACAATGGTGGAGCCACGGCAGTGGGCAAC